AAATAGTCCACAGGAACACGTTGCAAACAAGACGAACAGACCAGGATTCCAAGAAGCACTTTGCAAACGGTTGCCTTCAGCAACCAGCAACGCCCACACCTCCCCTTTTTATACAGCAGTCCCAGGGCATTGCCTCTCATTGCCTTCTCCTTTTACTTTGGAGTAGTCGCATAGACTGTTGTTGTTTTTCTCTTGCTAACTGACGACGCCTGCGAGCATCAATTAGCACATCCAGGTGTGAGCCTTCCGAATCTGACTCATGCTCCTCACACAGCTGAGCTTCATCAGAAACACGACTGGCTCAAGCCGCGAGTCCTGTAATTCATCAGAGCCTCCCTCTGACCCTGACCTCCCTCTGACCCTGACGGCCCCTCAAAGGCCTCCTCCACCTCCTCCTCAGATTCCTCAGACTCAGCTGTTGGGAACACAGGCTGGCACGGAATCACAACAATATCCTGATAAAGAGTGCACTGTTGAAAGACTTGATGGGCCTTGATCACCCTGGAGAATATCTACAGTTAGTCCTCAACTTAACAACAGTTCATTTAGTGATGGTTCAAAGTTACAACAGCGCTGAAAAAAATGACTTATGACCATTTCCCACTTACGACCACTGCAGCATCCCCATGGTCATGTGATCAAAATTCAGATTCTTGGCAACTGGTTCACATTGATGACAGTTGCAGTATCCTGGAGTCAGGTGATCCACTTTTGCGACCTTCTGACAAGCAGAGTCAATGAGGAAGCCAGACTTACTTAAGAACCGGGTTACTAACTTAACAAATGCAGCAATCCACTCAACAACTGTGGCAAGAAGTGTCATAAAATGAGGCAAAATTCATTTAACAAATGCCTTGTTTAGCAATAGAAATTTGGGGCTCAATTTTGGTCAAGAACTACCTCGACCAAATGATGATCACTGAAAAGTAAACACTGACTTGATACAGCATAATCCGTGTCCCATAATACAATCCTGCTTCTTCCTGGGACAAGACTGACATAACTGTAGTAGGTGTGATTTTGTTGTTGTTGTTGTTGTTAAAGTGCACTCCCCTGGTTTTTGAGATCCTACCCAGCTCTAAGAGGAGCTCATAATGCACACAGTACTCTCTTCTCTAGCTGTATCTCCACCAGTCCACTGGCGCAAAAGGCAGGGATCTTAGTGAGCTTCCATGGCTGACTCTTGATTTCAACCCGATTCAACATTCAAACCTCTATATGTTGGCTTTCACTAAACATCCTTGCATTAAAAAAAACCTGCCAACTCATCCTCCAAGTAATGGATTGTTTGGTTTCAAAGCAAAGATCAAAATAGTCTTGTGTGAGATGGTGCTAATGATGCATGGAGGGCAAGGAAAATATTTATCCCTGTTTTATTACCCTGAAGTGATGATCTTCAAATCAATGGCCTGTTGATGTGTTTTGTAATAGATGAACATCCAATAGATGTTATTTAGTATTTTTATATGTCTATTCATCTACTAGCATATGGAACTCCCTTCAAAAAAAAAAAATCAAACCGCACTAGAGGCTGATCAATTGAGTATGTGCCATCAAGTTGGTGTCAATCTATGGTTAGACACCAACTAAACACCAATATCTCAGAGTTTGCCCTAAAGAAGAGCGAGTCAAGCTATTCTCCAAAGCTCCTGAAGGCAGGATAAGAAGCAATGGAAGGAAACTAATCAAGGAGAAAAGCAACCTAGAATTAAAGAGAAATTTCCTGACAGTTAGAACAATTAATCAGTGGAATGACTTGCCTCCAGAAGTTTTCTAGTGCTCTATCACTGGAGGTTTTTAAGAAGAGATTGGAGAACCATTTTTCTGAAATGGTATAGGGTTTCCTGCCTGAGCAGGGGGTTGACTGGAAGATATCCAAGGTCCATTCCAACTCTGCTATTCTGTTATTCTGACCACATAGCTAGATTTTCTTCATGACTATCTATCCCTAACCTAGCTTTCATTCTTCAGAGGTGAATCCATCACCACAGTAACTGAGTCCATCCACCTTGCTTCATCTTCTTAATAAGGTCTCAGCAGAGAAGATAAACCCTCAGATTACTAAAGCAGAATATAGGGGGAAAGGAAATCCCCTCAGTAGTTCATTATAAGAGCAGAGGCCTATCCATCCCATCTATTCTTGAACCTTTAAAAAAAAACATGAAACCCAATTCCTGACCTTTAAAAGGTTAGGAACCACCAACCTTCTCTGACTGAGCCTCAAGGGACTTCAGGTTGTTGGTGACATTCTTGAGTTCTTCCTCCAGGTCACTGCATTTCCTATGCAAAGCAAAAGAAATCATCCACTGTCAGCTCCTATTATTTAAATGAAAATATCATTGCCATCAGAAGTTTTAAGAACCTCTTTACTGATCCATTGTTCCACTTATTTTGTAATTTATTTGTATCCAGTATTCTTACACGCAAACATCTCAAGACAACCCGTAATGAAAACATAAAACATTTTTGAAATATGACGTATGGGGAAAATTAAAAATCATTTCCATGTAACAGCATCCACCCTCCCAAGTCCTGAGGGAAAAGATGAAATTTCAGCATGCATTAAAAGAAGACCTGCTCTCAGAGGTTAGGGATTATCCTCCCTGTGGTACCTCTACTTTACAGAAATCTCTACCAAGGAAATATGTCCAGCCCTCATCTTGTGAGTACTCCTTAAGGAAGTCAAGGCTGCATTGTTTCAAGAATCGTTTATCTCCTACTGGCCTTGTATGGAAGTGTTCACTTTCTGTAATTAATTTGGGAGAATATTATGATTTTTCCCTACTGCTGTGTGCCGCCAGAGTTCTTCAGGAATGGGTGGGTTAGAGGTGCAGAGAGAAAGAGAGAGATGCTGATAACATACAACTCAAGACTCTCTTGGACACTGTAGGGGGCTAGATGAGGGCAAACAAGCTGAAGAACAATCAAGTAAACCTATCGTTCCACAGAGAGATGACTCTCAAGTCTGGCAATGTTCTGAATAGAGCTCAAAGAGATGTATAGACAGCTGAGACACACAATCAGTTTGTGTCCAACAGCCTTAACTGTTAGCTGTGATGCACATGGAGCTTCCCTTGAAAAGTGGCCCAGAAATTACAGCAAGGGCAAAGTGCCTAGAGAACACAGATTGGGAAAGATGATTCTGGATGCCCTCAAGCACTTTTAGAAGTTACTCTGCAGGTAACTAATGAGTTTATTGCTTAAATCAGATTTCTGACACGCAGTGATCAACTCACAGTTCAGACACCTCAGCTCGTTCTTCAGCTCTTTCCAGTTCTCCCTCCAGAATGACAAGCTTACGGGCAACCTGGAGAAAGTCCAAAGAAACCATCACTGTGTGCACCAAACAATGTAGTTCCAACATAAAGCACCTATTATGGTCAACATCTGCTCTACCCCCCCCCCCAAAATAGCAAACTGGTACTTAAATAAAATTGGCACTTCCTTGGAACACTACAGAGTCCAACTGCAGTGGTGAAACGCTGACCCCCCTGATATTTTCTCAGTGATTCTGTTTGGTTACTGTGTGACAAATAATGCTTCTATCAGGGCTGTTCTTATGCTTTAACTGAAATGTTAAGTTCTAAATTTGCAACATAGACTGGAGCACATTCCAAAGAGAACGTGCGAATCAGACTCATGAGAAACACAGGAATTCAATCAAAATAAAATGAAGATCCGGGGCATCATTGAAACTCACATTGTTAATTATAACTACCTTTGAAATCACAGCTCAGGCTCTTGGGAAACTACCTAATCCCCACCCACTTTGTGACTTGTCTAGCCAAGTTTTTATCTCTTACTCCAGATCTTTCAAGCAGAGCAAGGATTTCCCAGACATGCTGCCAGAGGCAGTTTTAAAATGGAGGAACCCAAGGCCTTCTGCAGGAAAAAACAGGAGCTTCACCTCTGGGCTGTGATTCCACCAAAATAGGCTGGAAGACATGGGGTGACAACTGACATTTTGAGTTTGCAGCCTTTTCCTTGTTTCTTTAGGGCAACTGTGCTTGCCAGCCTTCAAATGAATTCAAACTGTCAGAATGCCATGCAGCATGACAGGTGTCCAGGAACGAGTCCCCACCCCAAACTGTTCCCAGATGCTGAGCCTTCCTCTCTCAGGATGGCTGCCTCACCTCCTCATATTTGCGGTCAGCTTCTTCAGCAATGTGCTTGGCTTCCTTCAGTTGCATCTCTTGAATCTCCATTTTCTCCTCATCCTTCATAGCTCTGTTTTCAATGACCTTCATACCTCTGTGGACAGAACCAAAAGTATACTTTTAAACCCTCTGGGAAAGTTGTCTACAGAATTTATGTGTCTTGGTAGGATCCATATTTGGAGAATTTATGAAGACCAATGAGGCAACAGTGTCCTGCATGGACAGCAATTTTAACATCTGTTCACCAACGAGAGAAATGTGATGGGCCTTGCTGTGCAAAAAATTATGTGTATAATGGAACTTAATCCTGGCTAGTCTGTCCACACTGCAAACCTTCTAGTAATGGCTTCCTGCATCTCTACATCCCTCTATGCTTTATTATTATATGTTGTTGGTATTTTTAGACTTTTCTACTTAAATAAGCACTCATGCGCATAATGCTTCTACCATCTACTATTGTGCTCATTTGTCTTTATATTTATACAGTACATTTTATGGCTATGTATAAATCAACTTAATGTTTACTTTAAATTCTAGGAGTTGAAGTTCACATTTCCTGCTTGAGCAGGGGGGTTGGACTAGAAGACCTCCAAGGTCCCTTCCAACTCTGTTAATCTGTTATATATCAGGAAATGTGTAGTAGATCACTACATTTTATAATAATCACAAAGAGCAGCTTGGTTTTTTCCTCAGTATCCTTTTAAGCACAAAGCAATTATAGTAGTAATATTATTTATTGGGGTTATATTTCATAGTTTTTTCATTGATCAACTAATGGTAAAATATTTGCTCAACAAAACATGATTATTACAATTCTAATGGCTGTTAATATATAGTCACTATTATGATGTAATCTCCAGATATCTACTTTTTATTTTTCCCAACAACAAAATGAAATGGGATCAGAACTATATCTGTCTTTCTGCCAGCAAGTTAACTGTCTGAAAACTGAACTGAATGGGACTAAATTTGGGGTTGGGGGAAGAAGCTGGCAAATGGAAAATTGAGTTTGAAAACTAGCTAGGTCAGGCTGAGGTCTGGAAAAAAATCCTCAATAATTTTTCCCAATGCATCTCAATGAGAAAGGCAAGGGGATAGAGGTTTGTATTGCTGGCACTTGCTCCATTGTAAGCCCTAACACATTGCCCAGAGTAGAATATATACAACCCACGTTGTGCTTCCCAGTGCAACCATACAGATCAATAGATACAACACAGAACAAAAGACTTCAAAGAACCATGATCAGCATGCTTTCCTTACGTGGTTGATAATTCTTGTAGCTGTATTATTAGACTACTGTTTTGCAACCTCAGCAACTGTAAGATCTGTGGAACTTGAACTCCTGCTTGCTGGAGAATTCTGGGAGTTGAAGTCCAAACATCTTAAAGGCGTTGAGGTTGAAAAATACTGTAGAAGAAGATATCGGTGGCTAATCTCCTGCAATCTATACAGAAGAGGGCCATATCTGACGGACTGCCTTTCCTTAAAGACATCTACCTATTCTACCAGGGCAGTTAGGGTGGGCACACTCCTAGCCCCTTCCCCTAAATATTGTCCTCTGATGGGAGTTAGGAAGTGTGTCTTTTCTATGGCAGTCCCTGCCCTATGGAACACCTCTCCCCTCCTAGCCTTTCATAAAGCCTTGAAGACCTGGCTCCCCCCCCCACACTCCAAGTGCTGGGAGATGATTGGATAATGGCACAGAAGAAGGTTGATTTGGTGCCAGGTTTTTGTTGTTTTTATCCATCTAGTTTTACAGTTTTAGTATGATTGTATATGTTATTTTAACTTTTTATTGGGAGCTGCCCAGAGCTGGTTAAAACATGGTCAGCTATATAAACATTTTAAATGAACAAACTTCCTAGCCTTGTGAAAACTTCTGAAAAATTCTTAAACAAGGTACAATACAGGCAGTCCTCACCTTACCACAATAGAACCCAATTTTTTTGTTTTTTAAGTGAGACAGTTGTTAAGTGAATTTTGCCCTATCTTATGAACCTTCTGGCCACAGTTGTCAAGCGAATCACTGCAGTTGTCAAGTTAGTAGCACGGTTGTTAAGTGAAACGGGATTCCCCATTGACTTTCCTTGTCAGAAGGTCACAAAAGGGGATCACATGACCGAGGGGCATTGCAACCGTCATAAATATGAGACAGTTGCCAAGCATCTGAATTTTGATCACATGACCCGGGGGATATTGCAAAAGTCTTAACTGTGAAAAATGGTCATAAGTCACTTTGTTTGGCCCGCTGTAACTAAATGAACTGTTATAAGTCGAGGACTACCTATACCACCAAATGTGAGCAAAACGTCTGCTGCCCTCTTCCATTTCCAATCAATATCCAAAAATACTGAGAGTAATCATCAAAGTCACATGAACTGAACAGCATAAAAACCTTTGTTCTTGTTCATTCCTCAGCTCTCTTGTCAGGACTTGTCAGGACTTTTTTTTTTTTTAAAGATGATTTGTCTGACTCTCTTTAAGATCAACAATACAGATTTGCTAAGCCAGAAGCAAAGCTGATAGTGTAGCCGATTAAGGCAGCTTAGTATACAAATGTCTCTAGCTCTGATTTCCTTTTAGAAGGAAGTAATTCTCAGATTATTTCATTAAGCTGCCTTATTGTTAAGTCATTTTTATTAGGCCACTTGGAATTCTTTGATCTTTCAAGAATATATTATCTTCTTGACTTAGAGGACATAAACTTTTTTTTACTATTTAAAGCTAAAGTAGACCAAATTTTCATGGTACTCATTTTTCTCCTGGCTTTGAAGGCAATGATCAGCATGACTGTCATTCTCAAGATTAATGCTTTTCCAGACTTTCTGGGGAAAGAACATTGTAATATTTAAATTTTGGGGAGCTCTCACATGGCTGATTACTAGCAATTTGTCACTATATTCTGACAGGACAGAGCATTTGGGAGCCACGTGCAAATTTAAACTCACTGATGGCGAATCTGTACTTTAAGCCTCATACGGTAATAAGAGAAAGCAAAACAGGCTAACAGAGCCAGGGGTGGAACTGAGCAGATGTCTGTCTTCATCCATGTAACTTTTTTCTTCCATTCAATCACATCTGATTCACAAAGATTGCAAAGACAAATTCCTGCACTTTCCTTGGCAAGGGTCTTCAGAAGTGGTTCACCCTTTCCTCCGTCATAGGGCAGAAAGAAGTGACTGGCCCAAGATCACCCAGCTGAATCTGAGCCTAAGGCAAGACTAGAATTCACCATCTCCTGGTTTCTGGCTGGGTGCCTTAACCACTACACCAGATGGCTCTCAATCGAACTCTAAATCAAGGGGGGAAAATTGTAAAATGAATAATGACCTTATCCTGAACGTGTCAAGGCACTTCTAACTTTATGCTGTTTACCACAGTATTCTTTGTCCCTTATTTTTACAGAATATTTATAGGATGGCCGGGAGCACACATGGGCAATATATAAGTAGTCCTCAACTTACGACCACAACTGAGCCCAACATTTATGTTGCTAAGTGAGAAATTTGTTAAGTGAGTTTTGCCCCATTTTACGACTTTTCTCGCCACCTTAGTTAAGTGAATCACTGCAGTTCTTAAATTAGCAACACGGTTGTTAGAACCGAGTCTGGCTTCCCCATTGACTTTGCTTGTCAGAAGGTCGCAAAAGGGGACCGCATGACACTGGGACACTGCAACCGTCATAAATGTGAGTCAGTTGTCGAGCATCCAAATGGAAATCTCGTGCCCATGGGGATGCTGCAATGGTCATAAGTGTGAAAAACGGTCAAAAGCCAGTTTTATCAGTGCTGTTTGAATGATCACTAAATGAACTATTATAAGTCGAGGACTGCCTGTATATTCATTTGATTATATGAACTTTAAACTCTTTACTGAGATAAAGCAGTGGTTATCGAAAGGGGTCAGAATGAGGACCAAGCGTTTTAGAAGTGGGATTGACAAAGAATTAGCTGTACTCTTGATTGGAAGAGCTGCTGCCAAAGGTCAGACCCAGCACTTCCTCAGCCATGCAGCCCAGACCAACCCTTTGATACCTCTCACTCTCATCAGCTGCTTTCTCTGCCTCCTCCAGTTTTTGCAGAGCTGTGGCCAGGCGCTCTTGGGCGCGATCCAACTCTTCTTCCACCAGCTGGATCCGGCGATTAAGAGCGGCCACCTCTCCTTCAGCCTGGACAAGAGAGAAATCCTCAATTACTCAAAGGCAAGAACCTCACCAGACCGGAACTGAAGTGACATAAAACTTTGGAAGGAAAAAAAAAAAAAAGAATTGCCAGCCTCCCCACCCCTCATGAAATTCAACTTCTGCAAGACGTCAGCTTACTCTAAGGCCTCCTGAGAGCAACTTTTGGGCAGACTCAACCCTCTTGAGAGTTAAAAGCCAGTCCTACCTTGCAGGCACAGAAAGAATCATTAATGCACGTTGAAAGAGGAGAAGGACAGCAGTTTCAGAGAAGGAGAGGAAGATCTTTCCCTTCCTGGAGTATAAGCTCAGTCTACATAAGGTCCATCGGATCTGGGCAAATGTTCCAACTGCAGATCAAGGAACCGGCAAGAGGCTGGGAAGAGCCACCTCTCCATAAGCCACTATGGAACCGAAAAGTTAAGACTCCGATCAGACGAAGACGAAGGAAGAAAGGAAGGCAGGTGATGGGCGGAGGGACCCACGTAGAGATTTTTAACTTTGGTGTTTATTTTTTTTTCATTAGCTGGAAAGAGGGAAGATGACAGACGAAAAGGGACAGATCACACTGACAGCCTCTCCAGGCAAGCTGTCCAATTCCTTGTCTTCGGAGCCCTCCCCCCCCCCAAAAAAAATCCGTCGGCACTTAAGGCCACCCCATCCGAGATGGCGACGGGCGGGGAGGGAAACGGGCGGGGACCAGATCTGGGTGCGCCTGGACCAGGGGTAGGCAACCTCGGCTCTTTTATGACTCGTGGACTTCAACTCCCAGAATTCCTGAATCAGCAACGCTGATTCAGGAATTCTGGGAGTTGAAGTCCACGAGTCATAAAAGAGCCGAGGTTGCCTACCCCTGGCCTGGACCATTCATTGCAAGCGCCCCGCTCCAAGAGCTTCCTTTTTCGGCCAGGCGAAACTTTGAATTAAGTTTAGCGGGAGCGGGGAAGCAAGCAAGCCAGCCAGGGCGACGCTTCCTCCCTCCTGCTCCGGGGGGGGGGGGGGGCGCCTTGCAGGCCCAGATCGGGAGGGACGGGAGCAAACGCCGGAGGAGGGGAAGGGGAAGAGTATCGGGCAGACCCCGCGATGCAGGAGGAAAAGGGAAGAAAGAGACGGCGGTGCCGCCCTGGCGGACGTGGAAGCCAGCGGTAGCCGGGCTGGCTCCACCCTCCTCCGCCCGTCCTCCAGCCTTGCCTTATACGGGCAAAAGGCACATCCAGGCTGCGGCAGCGGCGGGCTGGCCGGGCTGGGATGTGGGAAGAGAGGCGGGCAGGCGAGGAAGCGGAGGAGAGGCCGAGCGAGAGGCCGGGGCCCGGGAGGAGAGGCCGCCCAGAGGCTTCCCCGCCGTCGATGCTCACTTTCTCGCGCAGCTCCCGCTCCTGGTCGCGCTGGCGTTGCAGGATTTGGGCGCGGTCCTCGGCCTCGTCGGCTTCCTGCTGCAGCGCCTGGATCTTGCGCTTCACCGCCTCCAGCGAACCTGTAGTGGCTGCCATCCTAGCGGCGGCTGGGTCAGAGTCGGGTCCGGTCGCGAGAACGGCGGCGAGAGCTACACGTGAGCCGCGGCGGCGAGGATGCGGCTCCGGTTGCTGGCGGGAGGAAAGCAGCTGGGGAGGGGTTTGGGACGTCAGCACCGCTGGAGGGCGGGGCCGTGACGTGGCCACCGCTGGCCCAGCCAGAACGAACCCGCTCGGCAGTCCTTCGGGAGAGCGGGGTGGGGCTGGAGGGGCGGGCTAGGAAGGGCCGGGCGGCTTCTGGCATCCTTTGTTGGGCCGAGCTTCTGTCTCCAAAACGTCTGCTGAGTGGCAGCGAGAAGGCGGTTCAGGCTGCCCCACCTGGACGACGTGCTGGGAGGGACTCCGTACCGGCTGGGAATTTGGGGCATACGAGAGATTGGAGACGGATTGCGCTTTGTCTGCTTGCGCGCTGTCAGGTCTAGCAAGAGTTCCCGCTCAGCTGACGCCTCGTTCAAGGCCCGACTGCGAAAGAAACCGAGTTTCTGCACCAATCGAGGGCGCATTCATACGTCCCCACTCACTATGTGGATATAAGATATATGGTGGTCGAACTAACCCTAAACAAGATTTCTCCAAGCCCCTAGTGCAGGGGTAGTCAACCTTGGCTCTTTTATGACTCGTGGACTTCAACTCCCAGAATTCCTGAGCCAGCTTAGCTGGCTCAGGAATTCTGGGAGTTGAAGTCCACGAGTCATAAAAGAGCCAAGGTTGACTACCCCTGCCCTAGTGTATTCAGTAGCACACAGGGTACCATGCCTAGGGAGCAAATCAAGAGATCAACCCAGTTGAGGGGTCAAAATCCATCTGGAAAGGCAGCCAGAGCTTGTGTTAGCACAACATGCTTCAATGGCTCCTCTGAATGCACAGTATACTGAAGCACAAGTCAACAAAATGGACTCGATGTTAATAACATGTTAAATTGCAAAAGAAAGGAAGCTTAGCGGGTGTACAAATACGCCTACTGGGACTCTATCTCAGCTGGTTTAGCATATGTGAAGGCAGCCCTAATTGGAAGCTGTAGAGCTGGCTCTAGGATCACCTTCCTAAATTCCTTCATCTCACAACACATGGATAGACTCAGCCATAGCTTCAGCTGGGAAATTTAGCACCCTAGACCAAGCGAAATCCACAGATGTTAGGAAAATCCAGAAAGTTTGGCATTCAGACAAATTAACCATCACATAAACTACATTTACACACTATTCAAAAGAAACAATACAAAAATTAAGGAAACCAAAAGACCGGAACACAACCTCTCCAACAGCCAACACCCAGATAAGCAGGGATTAACACCAAGCAAACATCAAGCAGAAAATATGTTAATCAAGAAACTACCAAGAAGCAAACACACCTTCACCGGCATTAGGACAAGCTACTTCATATAAACAGGGAGGAACCTCCACACTCCCTTAGACTGATGAGGTTACCTTGTTGGGTAAAGAAACACCTGCAAGCAAATAACTAGAGAGCCCAAAGACTCCACTGTTCAATCCTGAGCTCCAAATATTATCTTCTGCTGGCATCTTCCTTTTGTCCCTCACTTAGTACCTCTATGCTCCTATACTGAGAAAGTGTTCATCTTTAAAGTTACTCATAAAGGTTGGTTCAGCATAACCTGGTCAAAAAAGCAGTTGTGGATTTTTCTCCCCCAAACATGGGAGCCTTCAAAGGGGCTTCCTTGGCCCGTTCTATGTAGGGTAGGAGTTGGACCAAGGCAGGGATCCTTGTGTAGCAAAGAAAGCATGAAAAAGTAGACCTCCTCCCACAGATCCAGTGTGGCTAAACAGTGATGAAGGCACCAGGCTAGAAAGGCAGACTTAAGTTCTAGTCCTGTCTTAGCCATGAAAGCCAGTAGGGTGACTGGCTTTCTGTCTCTTTCTCTCTCTCTCTCTCCTTCCCTCCCTCCCTCTCTCTCTCCTTCCCTCCCCCTCTCTCCCTCTCCCTCTGTCCAACTCATCTCACAGGGTCGTTATTGAGGGGGAAATATGAGGAGGAAGGTGTGTTGCAGTAGTTGCCATCTTGAGTTATTTGTAAAAACAATAAAGGCAGAATACAAATAAATCCTGTGCATATTTTGTAGAAGACTTGGAGTGAAGAGGCAGTCTTCAATTCAGACTGAATAAGCTTTGGGAGAAAGCAGGAAACAACTCTTGCTTCCCAATTATTGTAACTAGCTGAGTTTTCCTACACAGAAGTTCCTGCTATTAGAAAAAACTTTTTTTCCCTCTTCCTCTTTCCTCCCTATCTTGTTTTCCTTCCAGATTGGTGTTTGTTTGTTTTTTTTACAATGTATGCTGAGGGCAGGGATCATTTGGCTCTTATGATTCTTGAATCAGCTCCAAGAACCTTTAGATCCAGGAGGAAAGTGCAAATTCTTTAAAGCAAGAGTTAAGTTCACAGTAAATCAAATTACAGTTTCAGAGTGGCCAAGGCAACAACACTATGTAAATGGGTGGTGCTGAGATTTCCAGAGTGATTTTGAATGGAGAAGCTGGAACTTGTTTCCTCTCCACGCTAAAACTTTCCAGTAGTTCACACATCAGTTTTGATTGTTTTGTTCCACGTGGTAAAAGGTCACACTTTCATTTTGCAAAAGTCTTTTTCCCCGGTAAAATTTCGACAGTGCATTTGCAAGGAGTTGCAAAAAAAGAAGCAGCTTAGAAGAAAATATTTGTACCTCGGAGTTGAACTCTGGGGTCCTTAGTGCTCTCTGCGCTTGGCTGTTTCCTTGCATTACCAAACTAGGTAACATCATCAGTGCAGCAAACTCAGAAAGCACCCAGGACCTTACAAGAAGAAGCTTGGAAGCTACCATTTGGTTATAGGTGTTTTCAAATGGACAATAAGCCATGTTGGGGTGTGGACCTTACAAGAATGGTGGATAAATGTATGAGTTAAGTTGCTTTTGAAGTAAAGTGCTTGCACGTCAATCAGCAAGGGGAAGAATTAGGAGGTCTTGGTGCACTCTGAGCTTAGAGATGTTTCAAATACTTGACTAAGTAACATCATCAGTATGACAGTATGGGTAATGAAATGTCTGCCAGCAAACAACCAAGCTGAGAGAGCACCAAGAACTCCACAGCTCAACCCTGAGTTATGCTCTCTTCTATTGGAAGGGGGAACGTGTGCACTTCTCCAGCTAACACTAATACCATGGTTCCCCGAAAATAAGACTTATCCCCAAAATAAGCCCTAGTTTGATTTTTACGCATGTGCCTAATGTAAGCCAACCCCCAAAATAAGCCCTACTTAAAACCCCGCCCACTCTGTCCCACTGTCTAGTTGCACAAGGTGGGGCGAGGCACATGTGTAAAACTCAATCTATGGTGGGGGTGGGGGTGGAGCTGCCCCATGAGCCCCACACCTGTTTACCTCAGGACCGCCACAGCCAGGCCTCCCATGCCCCAACACCTGCCTCGCCTCGCAGTGCCGGCACCAGCAGCCCCGTCCAGCAGGAGTTCGTGCGGCTGCTGCCAGCATACTTCTTCTGCACTCACTCGCTGCCATTTGCGCACGTCGCCCCGGCCTCCATTTTGCAACACAGGTCTTCAGAAAAGGCCTCTGCAGCCCAGAATGGGGCTCCAGTTGACACACATATCGCCCGCAGTCTCTGTTTTTCGAGCAGAGGTCTTCAGGAGAGGCCTCTGCAGCCCAGAACAGAGCTCCCGTGTGTCACCCAAGTCTCCGTTTTGCCAGCAGAGGCCTTCAGGAAAAAGAAAAAGCCTCTGCTGGCGAAATGGAGGCCGGGGGCAACGTGCGCAAGTAGCCGCGGAAGAAGTGGGCCAGCGGCAGCCACGTAGGCTGCTGGATGGGGCTATTGGTGCCGCCGCCACGAGGTGAGACAGTGGGGGGGGGGGAAAGACATCACCTGAAAATAAGACCTAATGCCTTTTTTGGAAGCAAAAAAATATATAAGCGGGTCTTATTTTGGGGAAAATATGGTCTGTTGTACCAATAATATGCTCTGTTGTACCAATAATATACTCTGGCTCGGGATAGGGGCTGTTCCTCTATCCTAGTCCTGTTAGACCTCTCAGCGGCTTTTGATACCATTGACCATGGTATCTTGTTGCACCGGTTAGGGGGGTTGGGGTTGGGGGGCACCGTTTTACGGTGGTTCTCCTCCTACCTCTCGGACCGGATGCAATTTGTGTTGGCAGGGGGGCAGAGGTCAACCTCGAGGCGCCTCACTTGTGGGATACCACAGGGGTCGGTCCTCTCGCCTCTCCTGTTCAACATTTATATGAAGCCACTGGGTGAGATCATCCGTGGTTTCGGGGTGGAGTTTCATCAGTACGCAGATGACACCCAGCTGTACATCTCCACCCCGGACCACCCCAACNCCAGCTAGTTCAGAATGCGGCTGCGCGGGGGATTTTGGGGGCCTCTAGATGCTCCCATGTAACACCTCTCCTGCGCGAGCTGCACTGGCTGCCGGTGGCCTTCTGGGTGCGCTTCAAGGTGTTAGTAACAACTTTTAAAGCGCTCCATGGCAATGGACCTAGGTATTTGCAAGACCGCCTCCTACCAAACACCTCCCTTTGGCCAGTCCGCTCCCACAGAGAGGGCCTCCTTAGAGTGCCGTCGGCCAGACAATGCCGGCTGGCGACCCCCAGGGGGAGAGCCTTCTCTGTGGCAGCTCCTGCCCTCTGGAATGACCTACCCCCTGACCTACGTACAGTTGCGGACCTGCGCCTTTTTCGCCGAGCCCTGAAGGCCCATCTATTCCGTGCGGCCGGCCTGGCGTAGCTTGATTATGTTTCAGTGGGGGTTTTTTACGGGTGTGTTTTTAGAACAGGCCCGTTATTTAATTCGATTTTAAAACAAACTATTTATTATCGTGGTTTTTAGTATCGCCTGTTCACCGCCCTGAGTCCCGCAAGGGAGATAGGGCGGTATATAAATTTAATAAATAAATAAATAAATAAAATAAATTCTGGTCTAGTCAAGATGGTTCAATTTCTTAGAAATTTTGTATCCCTTCTCTCTTCCTTTACTGGGGCCTTGACAATTTCTTCCTTAGGCCTCACATTTTGGGAGAATTAACATTACATAAACATTCAGTGATCACTCATTCTGTAACCAAAGTTACAATGGT